GATTGGCCTGAGCCGCCAGGAGGCAGTTCAGGTCGTTTGACAACTTATTTGGCGGGTCCAAGAGAGTGTTTCTCGGCCTGCGGACGCTATAGCGAGAAGGGAGTGGGGCGGTATAAGTAACTGCCTCACGAATAAGTGTGTTAGTATGCGACTCTGATACTTTAAAGAAGTTTTCAGAGAATTTTTTAAGACATTGCTGGATTGTTGGGATTTCTAAATCCCGGTGAAGGTCGGCATTACGGACGTACCAAGGTGCGTTCGTAGCTCGACGACAGAAGAGGTTTTGAACTACTTGGAGTTCGTTAATAATTTTATCGTTAGCGTGTGCAAAAATAGGAGCCGAGTAAGTCATAACCGGTCGTATACAAACCATATAGAGGGTTCGCTTATTTCGCAATGACATTTTGCTATGTCTGCCTAACATACTGTTAAGCCGACCTAAATAGAAACGTGCTAGACGCGTTACTCTTTTGACATGAGACTCAAAAGTAAGCCTATAGTCAAGGGTGACGCCTAAATATTTTGCTGACATGTGCCATGGGACAGGGGTCCCTAGCATTCGTATAGGTGGAGTATTTTTCTTGTTTTTATTACGGCGTCTTTTAATATCGAATTGAACTGCGGAGCTCTTCTCCGGGTTCACATCGATACGCCATTTTTGGAACCAGTCTCCTAGGTCATCGACTGACTTTTGGATCTTGTTCCTTGCTGAAGATATTCTAGGACTTTTGAAGTATAGTGCAGTGTCATCTGCGAAGAGTGAGAGCTGTACACCATTCGACGGGATAGGAATGTCGTTGGTGTACAAGATGTACAGGAGGGGAGCTAGTACTGATCCTTGAGGAACACCAGCTTTAATGGGGCGCTGAGAGGATAACGTGCCTTCGTGTCTAAAACGAAAGGTACGATGTTGTAAATAAGAGGCTACGAGACGTACTAGACGATCGGAGAGTCCTATCCTATATAATTTGAAAATAAGGCCTTCATGCCAGACTCGGTCGAAGGCTTTGGCAATGTCGAAAAAGACCGCGATTGTCTTTAGTCGACGTGGATAAAAACCGCTGAGGATATATTCCACAATGCGGTGTACCTGTTGTGGACACGAGTGTTTTGCGCGGAAACCAAATTGGTGTGGGATGACAATGGGGTCACCGTCTGTGGGAAACAGATGGCGCCTCATTCGATTTTGAATGACTCTTTCAAAGAGTTTGCCCATGGCCTTTAGGAGGCTAATGGGACGATGACTGGAGGGGAGGTTAAGAGGCTTGCCTGGCTTGGGAATACCAATGACAATTGCCTCTTTCCAAGAAGTGGGAAAGTAACTAAGATTAAAACAGGCGTTAAAGATAATAGCTAAGAGGGTTAACACCTGCTCTGGAAAGTATTTAAGGGCTTGGTTGGATATGCCATCCGCGCCCGGAGATTTTTTGGGCTTAAGTCCTTTGATGAGGGACGAGATCTCATCATTGGACACAGTGATAGGGTCAGAGGTTGTGGGGGGTGAGTTCCGGCGGCGGACCTCATCCTCCACTTCCTGAATATGTGAGGGGTCGACAGGTTGAGAGCTAGGAGAGCATTGTGCGGCAATGCTGTCTGCAAAGCACTCAGCCTTCTCGTCGTCCTCGAAGGCAACCGTACCGTCGGGGCGGGAGAGAGGGGGAGTGTGAGTTGTAGCGTCCATACGGAGGGATCTAGCCATCTGATAGTACGCTGTATGTGAGGGAGATATATTCTCCATGAGTTCACTCCTTTGGAGCTCTCGAAATTCATAAAGGTGCGAACGGAGTTTTCGTTGAAGACGATTAGCCGTATGCCTATATTCGGGGGTGGGATATTTAGCTGCTCTCCGGAAAGCAGCTTTTTTAGCTTTTAATATGTTGCTAATATATAGGGGAAGCCCATTAGTATTAGCAACCGGAACGACCCTTTCATTCTCCTTAAGGGAGGATTTAATTAGGGTTGAAAGTGATTCGACCGCGGTGTCGATTTTTACAGGACTGTCTAAGTCTAAGTCCGACGATAGGTAATTAGGGGAGTCCTGCGAGTCCATAGCTTTTGCTAGTGAGTCCTTGAAACCCTTCCAGTTAGTGAAGGTTTTCGTAGTTATAATAGGGGGTGGCTGATGGCCAAGAATAAGAGAGACCGGTCGGTGATCGGATCCTATATCGTCTAGTGTCTCAATAGACCTGAGGTTGAGTGAAACTCCTTTGAGTAACGCAAAATCTAGTACATCTGGGTTATAATCGGTATTATCGGGATAGTGCGTTGCACCGAGCGGGCTGAAAACGGTTAAGTCAAGAGACTGCGTTATATCACGCAGTATCCTACCATTAGTATTAATCGTACGGCATGTCCATTCAGTATGCTTAGAGTATCGCGAGTTGTGTGAGTCAGTGTTTGTAGTTCGTTTGTGATCTAATACTACTACTACGAAGTAATGGCAGATACAGCAGTAGCTTCCGAAACTCCCGCTCCGGCGACTCCGGCGAAAAAACCGAAGGCCGCCGCTACTGCAGCAGGTGGTGCAAAGAAGCCCAAGGCGAAACCCACTCATCCGAAGACTTCCGAAATGGTCACCAGCGCAATTAAAGAGCTGAAAGAGCGCAGTGGATCATCTTTGCAAGCGATAAAAAAATATATTGCCGCTCAATATAAAGTCGACGCTGAAAAACTAGCTCCGTTCATCAGAAAGTACCTGAAGAGCGCAGTCGAATCGGGTGCGCTTATACAGACAAAGGGCAAGGGGGCTTCCGGTTCCTTTAAGCTTGAATCAAAATCGTCCGCCTCTAAGAAACCGTCGACGGGTAAGAGCAGCGGTGGCGCAAAGAGCGGCGTGTCCGCCGCTAGCTCGGTGTCGGCGAAGGTGAAGAAGAGCACCGCCGCGGGTAAGGGTAAAAAGACAGCATCGGCAGCGACCGCATCATCACCGTCTAAGGCAAAACCGTCTGCAGCTACCAAGGACAAGAAGGCGGCCGCCGCGAAAAAGAAGCCGGCAGCCGCAAGAAAATCCGCAACCGCTGGCCAAAGCGGCGTTTCTAAGGCGAAAGGCGCCGCTTCGAAGGCGAAAAAGAGCGCCAAACCACCGACAAAGAAACCTAAGGCTCCAAAACCGAAGAAGGCGGCAACACCCAAATCGAAGCCTTCCGCGGCGGCATCGAAGAAGGCAGCCGCTTCTAAAAAGTAAGGTCCGCTGTCACCGCCTTCCGTCGTCATAACCACCGCCGCCGTACCTACCTACGTACGTACTCGTACGCGTAATTGTCACGCGCGTATGTGATTGTGTAGTGCATGCAGGCTGATGCTGCTGAGAGACAGGTAGGTAGGTAGGTAGGTAGGTAGGTAGGTAGGTAGGAAGGCAAGCAGGCAGGCAGAGTGACAGCAAGACGGGACGGACGGGACGGGAGAAGGATCCTCGCGGGTGAACGCGAGTGCCTCGTAGCGCCGCGGCATCGGGCCTATTTATTTTTATTTTATTCTTATAAATAATACCTATAAAAATAAATGGTGTACGTGTGTCGCGTCGTATACGAATATGCGCGAGCGACCGCAATGCTAAAAAGCCCTTTTCAGGGCTAACAAAAATTTCCTATGAGTTTCTTATACGTCACGCGTCAATCATAATGATTGCCTTATTATATATATTACCTACCTATATTATATATATCGCACCGTCCCTCACTTCAATCAAATCAGTCTGTCAGGCAGTTCTATATAATATAATATAAAATATTATGTAATTATGTAAACATTGCAACGAAATAACGAACGCACAACTTATGAACGCACGATAACGATTTAACTAAGTAGGTATATAAATTCGAATAAGCTAAATACACGTATATTAAAACAATAAACGTAGATGCGTCGTAAATGCGTTACAACAATTTACGAAACACTAAATACCTCTATATATATATATATATATATATATATATATATATATATATATATACACACACCACCTACTCAACGAATTCAACGTACTACGTTCACACTTTTAAAAAAATTTTAATAGGTGCCTAGGTAAAATAGATAACACAACCGAATCGAATCGAACCGAACCGACCGACCGACCGACCGACCGACCGACCGACGCGACGCGACGCGACGCGACGTGACGCGACGCGACGCGACGAGACCCTACACGAACGTAACACGTATAATATTATGTATATAAATAATATTATCACTTTCACACTCCCTAATTTTCTTGTTACAGTTTTTCGTTTTTCTTCCTCTTCGACGACGATATATTATACTATTCTATTCTAACGCGTTATATCCTATTGCTGCTACCTAGTATTCTTCTTTTTTTCTTCTTTACAAGTACATTCGTTTCGCCCTCGCCCGACTGCCCGACTCCCAACTCCCAACTCCCAACTCCCAACTCTGACTTGAGATTTTCCAACTAACTAAAAGTCTGACCGGACCGACCGCGCAAACGTGTTGCGTTCGCGATCCCCACCCCACCTAGTGGCGAATCGATGCTGGCTATATAAAGGAACGTCGCGAGTTTAAAAAAAAATCATTGAGGGAAAATTAGATTCGGTTGTCTGCGCTCAAGCCGCGCGGACGTATTCTTCGGTCGAGCCCATGCGCTCCCGAATTACTAAGTTGCAATTGTGCGAAAAAAAAGACAATAAAAGGATTAAGTGCTCGAAGTGCTTCAGTGGTGTTGTGCGTCATTGCCGCCGTCAGGTTGCATCGGCCCGCCGGCCCATTGTTCTATTGTGTTAGGGATTAGTGTAGTGCCCCACGCTCTGCCAATTTCCAGTAAAAACTGTAAGTAGTTTATTACACACCGCCGTGCCGCCTCAGAGGCGGCTATTATATTGTTATTGTATTAATCTCTGTGTTCGCTTGTCGCATTAGGCGACAGCTAGGTACACACCCTAACGTACCAACGCGTTAGGTATATAGGTGTTCGTTTAAGCACACACCTCCCCCGCCGTGAGGTGGGGGAGCTTGGTACACAAGTGTTTTCTTAAAAACAAGACAAGATGGCGGCTATAACCATAGCCGAACTCGCCGACTTTTTCAGTCGTGCGTGCCCCGACGTTTGGGCGACCTTTCTAGCGCAACGCCAAACGCCCGCTGCTGAACGTCCGACCGTGTTGGTAGACGACCCTATGTCGCCCAGCACCGGACCCGCGACCCCCGCGTCCGTAGAAACGCTTTATGACGTAGGATCCCCCGCGCCTTCTGCGCTCTCTACTCGGGGGCCGTCCCCGGCGTTCTCGGACGCCGAGACGGGCTCCGAAATGGAGTTCGACGTCGCGAAACCCGCCATGCCCGATGACGAAGGCTTCACCGTAGTCTCGGGAAAAAAACGTAAACGTCCCGCCGCGAAAAAGGGCGCCGAGCCTCACTCGGCCCCTTCGTCCCCGTCGTCGTCACCTAACGCCACTCCGGCTAAAAAGACCGCGCCTTCAGCGCGCCCTAAAATCGCCAAAATCGCGAACTCTGAACCCGCCGCGGTGCGCAAGGAAAAACCGCCGCCCCCGATCATCCTTCAGGATAAATCCCGATGGAGCAACCTTTCGCATTGGATTGACTCCAAAAAAATCTTCTGCCCAAAGGTCCACAATGGTGGCCAGGGCATACGCATCCACGTCTCAACGACTGATGACTTCCGCGCTTTAACTGCGCATCTTAAAGCTCAGAAACTGAGCTTCCATACTTACGCCCTTGCGGAAGAACGCAACCTCCGCGTAGTCGTTCGCGGGCTCCCTAAGGAGCTCGAAACCGAGCACATTTTAAGCGATCTTAAATCGCAGAATCTCCCGGTTAGGGAAGTGCACAGAATGCACCACCCCACCGACAAAAAAAGATACCTAGACCTTTGTCTAGTTATCTTAGACCTGTCCCCGGAAGGGAAAGAAATTTACAATATTCGCCGAATCTGTAATCTCACTGGGATTACGGTAGAGGCCCCCCGTAATAGGGGCATCGTTGGTCAATGCCACCGATGCCAACTGTATGGCCACTCGGCCAAAAATTGCTATGCGAAACCTAGATGCGTTAAGTGTCTAGGTGACCACGGCACACCCGAGTGCACCCGAACGCCCGAGTCTGAAGGCCCTCCGAGCTGCGTTCTGTGCGGCGAAGCGGGACACCCAGCGAACTATCGCGGGTGTACCAAAGCGCCGCGTAGAAAGTGGCGCGGAGGCGCAAACCGGCGCGGACGAGCGGCTAGCGCTAGTAGGTCCCGTCCTAGGCAACATGCCCCATCATTAGCACCGATCTCGGTGTCTCAACCCGCGCCCCCTCAGCCTCACACCAAACCCGCCCCCGCTAAAGGGTCTTCCGGGCAAGGTGTAAGCTCATCGGTGCCTTCAGCACCCGCGTCGAACGCATGGGTTAAGCCCCCGGCGATTGTTAGCGCGGCCGCCTCACGGCCAGCGCCCTCTCTCCAGGCTCAAAAGCCCAAACTTGCCCCTCAGGCATCTTCTACCTTCGCTGCTGACTTCTCGTTAGTCTGCAGCTTCTTCAACAATATTAATGTTGCCGAAGTGTCTTCCCTGGCCCGTAAACTACGCGAGGCCAAATCCGCTCAAGATAAGCTCAATGCCACCATTGAGCATATCAATCTCATCGACGCGATCGGTTCATTCCAATGCGCCTAAATAATAATCTCTCTAAAACAAAATGGCAGTACAACATACAGGCAGAACCAAACCTAGCTCACTGACTGTCGCGTTCTTTAACGCAAACGGCATCAGAGATCAAAAGGAAGAAATCGTGTACTTTTTACGCGATCATGATGTCGACATCATGCTAGTGCAGGAGACCTTCTTGAAACCTAGCGTGCGCGATCCCAAAATAGCTAATTATACCTTAGTAAGAAATGATAGGCTGACCGGACCTAAAGGCGGCACCTTGATCTACTACAAAAGGTCCTTGCACTGTATACCGTTAGACACTCCACCGCTTGCTAACTTAGAAGCATCGGTATGTAGAATAGCACTTACGGGCCATCCGCCCGTCATAATTGCCTCGGCATATCAGCCACCGCAAAAACCCTTATTAGAAGCCGACATCTCGGCACTACTAAATCTAGGCCCCAGCGTAGTAATCGCGGGTGACCTAAACAGTAAGCACGTTAGTTGGAACTCTAACCTAAACAATCCAAACGGAAACATATTATGCGGCCTCACGGAGAGACTTAACTTCGACGTTATCGCTCCTGAGAGCCCAACTCACTACCCATTTATAACTAGTCACCAACCGGACGTCCTTGACGTAGCTATTTTAAAAGACATCCGGCTTAACATTAACTCGATCGAAACTTTCATCGAACTATGCTCGGACCATAGGCCGATCGTATTAGAACTGGGCCGGTCGGCTGGTGAGGTCCCTCAGACCAAAACCATCGTCGACTGGCGTAAGCTCAAGGTCAAACTTGAGTCTACGAACTCCCAGCATTTAGACTCAATACCGGACAAGATAGACTCGCCGGAGGAAGCCAATAGGGCGATTAGCGCCCTATCGACTCACCTCACATCAGCGGTCGAAGAGTGCTCCCGTAAGGTTCGTGTGTCGAGCGATCGGCACACAAAGCTTCCGGCAGACGTTCGACGGCTGATTAGAGCGAAAAACTCCGCGCTAAAAGCATATGACCGTTATCGCACGGCAGATAACAAAATCCGGCTACGTTCTCTGCAAAACGAGATTAAACAACGCGTTGTAGAATTTAGAAATGATAAATGGGATAACCTCTTAGAGGGATTAGAACCATCTCAAGATGCCTTTTGGAGGCTGACTAAAGCCATAAAAGCAGAGCAAATTGCTCCCATGCCGCCTCTCGTGAGGCTCGACCACCCCGATCTCGCCTTAGACGATCTCGAAAAAGCCGAATGCCTAGCCGACAGTCTAGAGAGCCAGTGTACCCCATCCAGCGTACCAACAGATCCCGCTCACCTGCTAGAGGTAGAAGCGGAAATCGAACGTAGGGCTGCGTTTCCGCCAGCGGGCGATCCACTCGATCCCGTGACTTTCGAAGAAGTCACTAAGACCATAAAAAGCCTTAAGATTAGATCAGCCCCTGGGCCAGACGGCATCAGTAACAAGGTGATCAAATCTCTTCCGGCACCGTTAATTTACCTCCTCGTAGGAATTTTCAACGCGCTTCTCTCGAGCTGCTCTTTCCCGGATATCTGGAAAGAAGCAGACGTAATAGGAATCCATAAACCGGGCAAACCGCGTAACCGACCCACCAGTTATAGGCCTATCAGCCTACTCAACACCTTAGGTAAATTATATGAGCACACTATCCTCAAGCGCCTCCGTCACTTCACGGAAACTAACAGACTCCTCCCTGACGAACAGTTTGGATTTAGAGCCAAACATTCATGTACTAACCAAATTCATCGCCTAACAGAATATATTCTGTCTGGCTTCAATCATCATCCGACAAGGAGAAAATCTCGAGGCACGGGAGCCCTCTTCTTTGATGTCGCAAAGGCTTTTGATAAGGTCTGGCACGACGGCTTGCTCTACAAGCTGTATAAACTAAACGTGCCGGACAGGCTCGTACACATCATCCGAGCCTTCCTTTCAAATCGCTCTTTTCGCTATCGAGTGGAGGGAACCCATTCTTCGAAACGCTTTCCTAAGGCCGGTGTCCCACAAGGCTCCGCCCTGTCTCCAATTCTGTTTACACTTTTTACGAGTGACATCCCTAAAGATCCAGCGGTCAACACCGCTCTCTTCGCCGACGATACGGCTCTCTTTGTATCAGAGTACAATAGGAATATTCTCACTTTAAAACTCCAAAAAGCTGCCAATCGCTTAGGCGAATGGTTCCGCCAATGGAGAATTGAAGTGAATCCCGAAAAAAGTGTAGCAATATACTTTCAACGGAATCCAAAACAGTCCGGTAATGGACCAAGAAAACGTATGAAGGTAATTACCTTATACGGCCGCCCCATCCCATGGGAATCCTCGGCCAAATATCTGGGCGTTACGTTTGACGCCAACATGAGTTTCGCGAAACACATTAGTATTGTTCGCAACAAAGCCAAGTCAGTTATTGGCCGTCTCCATCCTCTTGTGAACAGCAAGAGTAAGCTGTCTCTAAGGCACAAACTCCATTTGTACAAATCCTGCGTTAGACCTATCATGTCTTACGCAAGTGTAGCCTTTGCACACACATATAAGTCCCACCTAAACGAACTACAGAAAGTTCAAAACCATTTCATCCGTAAAGCCACCGGTGCACGGTGGTATCAACGGAACTCTGATTTACACAGCGATTGTCAACTCCCCTGTATCTCCGAATACTTTAAGGAGATGTCCCAGCGCTACTTTGACAGCGCCGAAGCTCATCCGAACCCCCTAGTGGTAAACGCAGCCAACTACGTCCCGATACCGAACGTCGCGCCGTTTCTCCGTAGACCGCGTAATGTATTAATAGAGCAACCGCGCTCGCTCGATCCCGTCGACCCAAACGTCGCAGGCACATCACACACTGACACTACACCCACACCAATTGGGACAAACACTAATAGGACAACGGAAGGGGCGCGTCGCACCCGTAGGCGGGCACGACGCGTTCCAACACACACCGCGTACACACCGTACACCCGCGTGCCTGGGCGGTTCTCACCGCCCAGAACATCGACCGATACGAGCTAAGCAGTCAGAGGCAGGGGTTCGCATTCCCCCCCTCGGACTGCGGTTAGATAGCTCAAAATAAACCTCTACGGAGGGGACATGATGATTGGTAACAATACCAAATCACAAACCATCATCATCCTCATCCTTATCCCAGCTACCGCCTTTCCACTTTTAAATAGCTCGCGGCCTTTCAGGCCGCGAGCCCTGCGTCCGATGGAGCTGTAAGAACCGCATAGGTTAACAGCGTTAACATCACAGAAAATAGTTAAAAAAATCATTCCGCCTGTTGCACCGCCCCCGAGCGGTTGTGTACAGGTAGTTCGCGTGCGCTCCGTTAGCGCCCCCTCAGTTTCGCGCCCCGCGCGCCTCTCAGTGTTGGCGCTATAAGCGCTGAAGTCGGGTGAGTGTCTCATCGCTAACTCTCAGCTCTTACCCCCCCGCCTTCAGGTCGGGGAGGTCTGACTGAACGCTTTTTATATTGTAGTACACTAGTTCTGTATATGTTAGTAGTTTATTATAATTATATGTGTAGTATATATAACGTGTATATTGTCATATTGTTTCTTGACTTAGCCCCCGTCCTTTTGAGGACGAGGGAGAGTTTCAGAATAAGAACGTCCCGTTCTTTTCAGAACGGTGATCCCTGATCCCCCCACGCCATACGATAGTTCTAATTTTTAGTTTATTTTTAGTTTTGTTGTAGAATCGGTTAAAATGTCCTCGCAGAATTTTAAAGGTTACGTGCGCGATGCATACCATAGGTTCCAAAATGACCCGCTAGCTCTTTCAGCAGCCATCTCAGCCCTTCTGGCTCCTCCCGCCGTTCAGGCACCGCCGCCCGTTATTGCGGACTACCTCGCGTCTCGAAACTCTTTCGCGCCGCTCGAAATCGACATGGAGTGCTCTCACTCCGATTCCGCGTCATCAACATCTGCCTCCCGGAAGAGGCCTGCCAAACAGTCCAGCACCAGGACATCGGAGTCCTCTGACTCCGATGATACCGGTGACTCTAACAACTCTAACACGTCTTACACCACGGTGTCGTCAAAGCGCGCAGCGAAGCGCGCCGCGAAAAACCGTTCGCCCCTCGCCGAAGCGGCCCGTGCCGCTCCCCCCACCCCCGCAGCCCCCGCCGCTGCCGCGTCTACCTCCGCAGCCCCCGCCGCTGCCTCGACCCCCTTAGATATTGCAGCGCCGTCGAAGCCGGCTTCACGTTGCGCTCCGCAACTCGCGAAAAAACCAGTTCCGCCCCCTGTCTTTTTGAGAGACAAGGCCGAGTTCACTAGACTGAGCAAGGTATGCTACGACTCCGGAATTAAATATGACATAGCTACGAACATGGGCGTAGCGATAAAAATAGTTCCCCAATCTATTGACGATTTTCGCCGACTCACTAGGCTTTTTACTAACGAACGAGTATCGTACCATACATACGCTCTTCCGGAAGAGCGTAAAGTCAAGGCCGTCATCCGAGGCGTCCCGTTCGAACTCTCCAACGAGGAGATTCTTGATGACCTTAAGTCACAAGGATTCCCCGTCGAAGCTGTTCATAAAATGCACAGTAGGACCGGGTTGAGATACCCGATAATCTTAGCTATCTTAACCAACGTTCCGGAGGCGCAAACCATCTTCCGGCAAGTACGCACGGTGTGCGGCTTGTCGGGAGTTAGGGTTGAGTCACCGCATAGGCGCGGTTTCCCGGCGCAGTGCCACCGCTGCCAACTATATGGTCACGCGGCGGCCAATTGCTCCGCCCCACCCAGGTGCGTTAAGTGCCTAGATCCACACATCACCAAAGAGTGTCCTCGGCCTAAAGATGCCGTATCCCCGCCCGCGTGCGTCCTGTGTCAACAGACAGGCCACCCGGCGAGCTACAGAGGATGCCCGTGCGCTCCTCGTCCGCGCATAGCAAGACAGGCACCACCGCCGGTAAATGACCGTTCATTCCCGGCCTTATATGTTAGGAAGCCCCGTCAGGGCGCATCTCAGCCGTCTCAGGGCTTTGCAC